TTGGAATCACCGAGACGTCTAAAGATGAGAAAGGAGAAAAACGAGAAATAAAAACATCACTCTGTGCGGACAGCAGTTTTGTGTCCGTAGACCCAAGAGGACCCACTGCAACCAAACTGCTACTATAAACGAGAAGCAAGGACCGTGACGCTGAAAGGAATAAAATAAAATACGCAGAAACCCACACGCTAACGATGCTCACTAGTCAGCTCTGACGGAAGCACGGAATGAGAAGAAACGAAGACAGCAGCGCTTGCTTCTTTCTGACTCGGCAGTTCCACGCCACCGCTGCCCGCCTGGCCATGCGGGGTAACCGGGCCACCCGGGAAGCCGTGCACGGAGGACGGGGAGCTCCCGGCAGCCCAGGAGCTCTGCCACGGGGGGTCACTGGGGACCCAGGCTGCCGAGGCTCCCCTGTCTACAGTGCATGGCTTCCCGGGTGACCTCGCTGTCCCTCTCCAGCGGGCAGAAAGGGGGCGACCGGAAGTCAGGACCTGGGGTCTCCTCCAGTGCACGTGGAGTACGAGCTCGGAGTTCTAGTGCTCAGCGACCTGGAATATGAGGACACGTGGCCCTGCCACGGCCAGGCAGCCCCGGGAGCGTGGCCCAGTGGGCACACCGCCACGTGACCACACCAAAGAGAAGGCATCTGGAGGAGACAGTGCGTATGTACATCTGCAATAAAATACACAAAACACTGAACCCAAAACTTCAGAAGAACTCAGCAAAGCCTATATGCAGTGAAATTTTAGAACATCCTGAAAAATACAAAAGCGAAACTAAAAAAAAAATTGGAAAAATCCTGTGCAGCAGGTGACAACCACCGCCGTCTCTGTTCTCACTGCAGCCCCTGGCAGAGCATGGACTCGCTCTGGCCCCTGGGCCCGGGGCTCCCTTCAGGGCTCGCCCCGTGCATGGAATGTGGTGGCGGTGACATCCTAGACTCCGGAGCACGGCCCTTCAGAGGCCTCGAAGTTTCCACAACACCCCTGGGCCACCGAGTGAGGAAGCTCGGGCCAGCCCGCCTGACGACGGGCTCACGTGGGGAAGGCAGGGACCCCCCAGCCCCAGGCTGGCTTCCAGCCGACGCAGACGCAGGAAGAACTGCAAGCACGAGCAGCAGAAGAACCGGCCTGCTGAGCCCTGGACTGGGAACCACTAGAACAGCAGCTGCTTTGAATTGCTACATTTTGAGGTGGTTTGTTAGACAGTGATACATACATGCTACACAAACCACACTTTCTAAGTTTATAAATGTAATTAATCCCTAATTAAAAGAACAGTCCCCCACCCTTCACCCCCAGAACTAGACATGCAGATCTTACAGTTCACATGGAAAAAACAAAAGGAAAGAAAAGCACCCCCCCAAAAAAAAAAACATGAAAAAGAACCACAGAATAGCCCCACAAAAGATCGTAACACACCACGAAGCCTCAATAATTAAGAGAGTGGTCCTGGCCTACAGACAGACGTACGGACCAGGGGGACCTGAGGCCGGGGGAGCTCCTGGGCACGGCAGCTGGCATGGCCTGCAGTCGGTTGCAGGCTTGGAACCCACATGGGCTGCACACCGCTACAAGCTAAGAAACAACACGTCCCCAACCCCCCCGACACACTTCAACTTGGGCAACTCTGTATTTCTGCTGCATTTAGGTACCGTTACAATGAATAGAATGCAAAATTAACTTAAAACCATTAACTGGACTGTGGGAATATTTCAGCGTCACACATTTTCCCTGCCAGGGAATGCTGACGGTACAATTGAAAGACACGTAAGCCGCCTGTCCAGGAGTCGATAACAGAACCCTGCTTCTGCAGCAGGCAGTCCCCGCGGGTTCCTCCCACCCCCCACCTCCTATCTGAGAATCCTTCAAGTGTAGGGGCGTACGTGCTTGGACCCTGGAGGGGGAGTCCCAGCTCCTATCTCAGCCGTAACGAGAATGCCAGCGCCTCTTCCAGAGACTGACCCAGGGAGCAACACGTGGCCCAGTTCTGGGCGGTAGGATGTGACGCAGGCGTCTGTGGGGGCTTCCAGCCAGGCGTCGATTTTCCTAAAAGCAGAGACCACTCCAGCAGTTGCCACTTCAAGAGGCAGAGAGGACAAGAGTCAAGGTCTTTAAACCACCATTTCTGTCACCTGCAGCCCAAGCCCCCCGTGGCGCATGGTTAGTCCTGTCACTGTCGTCCCCGCGGCCCTGGTGTGCAAGAGTGTGCTGAACAGAGCACTCGTGTTTACTGCACGTACATCCGTGACGAACGGCAGCGGGACTCCCTGATCTCGTCCCGCGCGCATGGCATTTAGGAGCCATCGCAGTGGAAGTTCCCTAAAAGGACAATGTCACGGGATGGCCCAGGGAGCACCTCCCCAACCAGCTCGTCCGAGGACCTCGAACAAAGTCCCAGCCGACGCAGCTCGGGCCGGTCTGCTGGGCGGAGGGAGCCTGGTGAGGCCAGGAGGAGGAAGTGATGCTGGCCCCAGCGAGCGGGAAACTGCCGATCCTCCTCCCTGGAGACACATGGGGCGCACTCCAGGCGACAGAGGGCAGACACACAGCTCTGGGTGCCCGGGAGCCAGCACAGCCAGCACCATCCTGACCTGACCGCGGCCTGCTGGAGGAGCCACGCGGATCTAAGTCACCCCGGGGGCCCCCAGGCCACTACAGAAGGAAGCGAGACACTCCCAGGCTGCTGTCTGAGGAGAAGCAGGAGCCACCTCGGGCCAGCGACGGGACTGGCTCTGTTCCCACTGTGAAAGCCGCGGAGGAACCCTCGCAGCAGGGTGCAAAGCCTGCTCCGATCCCTGGACAGTGGGGGCCTGGGCAGAACCCTGGAGACACAGAAGCCACGGGGCCCTCCAGGGACCCCGCACACTGTACCTACCCCAACTCTCCAAGCCCAGAATCTTCTGTCTTTTCGAGGTTGTTCTGATGGTTTTACTGGCTTGAGTAGGGGTGGTGTTTGCGGGGCGGGGGTGGGGGGGGCGTGGAGGTGGGAGGGGTGTGCAAAGCCCCTGGGGCCTGATGACTGCACAATAGAGCTGTGACAGTCGCTGGGCCTGCAGGACACAGCACGGAGGCTGGCGGCACCACAGCACCAGAGAGCTCCCTAAAGGGGCAGATTGCGAGGGCCCAGGTCCAGAATGCACTCATGTGCGCACCTACCTCCACACACAGCAGCACACCCACTCACATGTGCACATGTTGTACACACACACACACACACACACACACAACAGTCACAGCTAATGTGGACGAGACCTAACTTTGTGACGACAAATAGCCCACTATAATAAGGACATTTTACTCTCCGAGAAGCAGACGGGAGTCTGCTGCGCAATTATCAATCAGCTGGTGGCTGATGCACTTTCCGGCATGGACAATGTATTTTAAATTTAACAGGGCGCGTGGGGGACCCGGCTTCCTCCTGGGAATAGGGAGAGCCTGTCACACCCGCCTTACCGCAGGGGTAAAACCAGACAGAGTGCAAGTTCATGACTTTCCTGGGTCCCACCAGAGACCTGCGGCCATAGGGCAAGGAAGGCAGGGCCAGGCAGCCCCCACAGAGAGCGGCCGAGCCCTCGGGTCCTGGGGTGGATGCAGGACGCTGCTAAAAGGGGTTCGGCTGTGACGGCTGCGGGCAGGTGGGGGCCGCGTGGCTGGGAGAGTGTGGGCCCCAGAGCTGCGGATGGGGTCTCGCCCTCCTGCAGGCTTTTCCTCCACGACCCCTACATGCCCACCCGGGGAGGGTCCTGGGGGGGCGTCTCCTGCACAAATGAAACACATAAGGGTGTTTTCTACGATGAGAACACAAGCCTTAAAGGATGAACAGAGCCACGTACAAAAATAAAAACGTCACATTTGACATTAAAGAGACACTGTGATTTACACATGGAACAGAGTTCGCCCCAGCCGGGTAGCCCAGTCGGTCACAGTGTCACCCAAACATGCCAAGGCCGTGGGGCACACAGCAGGAGCGCCCAGTGCGCGCATTGCTGAGCACAGCAACCCATCGATGTCTCCCTCCCCCCTCTCTGTCTCGCTCTGTCTTGCTCTGTCTCCACGCCCATCACCTCTCTCTCTACAAATCAATAAATAATTTTTTTTAAATTTTAAGTAGGTTTTTTAAGTTAGCTATTCAAAATGGAATACACTTACTAGGTGTCAAATGCCTGCCCTTGGCCTCCGCCCGTGGCTGGGGAAGAGCCCCCACATGTCCTTTCACGGTCCCGCCGCAGCCCCCGGCCCAGCCGCGGTTTGGAAATGGCCTGTCTTACCCCAAGTTAATCCCTAACTCATCCCCCTTAATTACCTGTTACTCAGCAGTTCCTCTCTTAGTTGAGCTTCTTGTCAGAATATCAACTCAGAACATCCCAGGCAAACAGATGTTTGGAAGTAAAGGATAGTATCCAAAAATATTAACCCGATGCAGGAAATACAGTGTTAAACAGAAAGTGAAATAAAGATCATCATCATCATCATCATCATCATCAGTGCCCTGGCTGGTGTGGCTCAGTGGATTGATCGTCAGCCTGAGAACCAAAGGGTCACTGCTTTGATTCCCAGTCGGGGCACATGCCTGGGTTGCGGGCCAGGTCCCCAGTAGGGAGCACGTGAGAGGCAACCACACACTGATGTTTCTCTCCCTCTGTTTCTCCCTCCTGTCCCCTCTCTCTATACATACATACATACATACATACATAAAATCTTCACTTTATTTGGGGTAGTGGCGGCAAACAGGCACTTGTGCTGCCATCTGCCCGGCGGTTGGTACAGGGGTGTGACCCCGGTTCTGGGAGCAAAACCCCGCCCCCTCCCTCACTTCCTGTCAATACCTCCCCAGACTAGAAAATGGAAAAGGTCTGGGGGCAAGGCGCTGGACACAGACAGCTCAAGGTCACAGCTTATCCCCACCCCCTGACCCCAACCCGAGGGCGGGTCCTCCCCGAGCCTGTGCTGGCCTGGGTCCGGGAGCAGCTGCCTGAGGTCAGAAGTGACCTCTGCTCCCCTTGTTGCCGGGTCCCATGGCGACAGCTGCGCTCTCTGAGGTCAGTTTTCCCAGGAAAACGGGAACCCACGGCGTCCGGCGAGATGGGAGCAGCCGCCCCTGCGGGTCCTGAGCGGCACCCTCACGCCCCGCTTCGAAGGTAAGGCGTGACTTATGAGTAGACCGGACTCGTCCCCTTCCCGGGCTCTCTCTCCTGCTGCTGGGGACTCTCTCCCCAAGTTCCCAGACATCTACACCAAACCCCTCTGGTTGTGCAGTTGAGCCCCAGTGAGGCTGCTGCGGTCCCTGGTGCCGGGCCCCACGCCCAGCTGTCTGCCCGTGGAGGCCCAGAGACACGATAATTGAAGGAATCAGAGAGAGGTGCTCTGGCACCCGGAAAGCACACATCTTTCTGTGCCCCTTTCAAGGGACCGGCGCAGGGAAGGCACCTGCCCTCCTGTAGGAGCTGTGCCCGCGACGGCCTCCCCTGAGCGTCAGAGGAAACCCACAGCAGCCCCACTGGCTGCTGGCTGCTGGCTGCCTCTCCCTCACCCCAGAGACCCTGCAGGCCGAGCAGAGGGGATGGCCAGACCACAGCCCCGTACCTCCTTCCCTCGGGGGACTCAGCTGGCAGGATGCGGGGACAGCCCAGGCCACGCCGCATGAGCCTCCGGAGCATAAAAATATCCCATAAAAATACCCGTGGGCGGGGGAGCTGCAAGGGGCCTCCCTGTGCCTGCGTTTCTAAGCGCGGCTCCGGGGCATCTGGTCACAGGAGCGAACTGGGGACAGCAGTCTGCCAAGTGGGTGAAATGTTAGGGACTGTGCCGCAAGCGTACTTTCGGACTTGGCACCGAGGTCGGCCGAAGCATGGGGTGTGTGGAAGACAGGGAAGGTCAAGGTTCACACTCCACCCAGGCCCCCTCCTCCGAGCAGCCTGGCCAGCCCCCCAGGGGTCCCTGGGCTCAGGCGGTTAATGCTCAAAAAGTGCTCCACCTCCGAGGGTGTCGGTCTTGGGGCGAGGGGGGGGCAGGAGGGGCGCAGCTGTCACACAGTGCAACACAGAAACCTTCGCCCTTGCTGCGCTGTCATGCTGGGTCTCAGAGAGAATCCGCTTCACTGGACGCGGTGAGCGAGCTGCCGCTGCTGCCCCACCGGCACGGAAACCTCCCGGCCGGCAGGACCACGGCCCTGACCTTGTGTTCCCCTCCAAACAGCTCTGCTGCAGGCCACGCGGCCCATCCCAGGTGAAGGTGGAAAGTCCAGGCTGGGGGTGGGGTGGGGGGAGGGGGCTGGGCCGGCTCAGGGACTTGAAACTCCGGGAGCCGCCACACCGAGGGCTGGCCGCGGCAGGCACGGCCCCACGGGTGCGAGGAAGGTCCCCGACCACCGGCTGGGCACCCGCCCCTCCTGGCCTGGATGTTTCTCCCCCTCCTGGGCCATCGAGAGCAGCTCAGCAGGATTAAGAAGAGAAGCTATTCGTTATACAGCCTCTCTCCTCACTGGGAAGTGGGCACAGGGCACTTCGGCCTCAAGCCCGACACTGAGAGAGTGCCGCACTGGCCGCGGCACACACCCTGGTGTGGGGGGGGCTGTCTCCGGGAAGAAGTGCCACCCAGCCCCTCAGGGACGACTTCCACGGCCTCCCTGCCCCCGTCATGGGGGCGGCGCCCGGCACCCTGAGAAACTGCGGTGAGTGAACAGTCCACCGACACCCATTCCACACCGACACATTCACAGCGCGAGACCCCACGGACGCCGCGGCGACAGCCACGGCAGAGCTGGCGTTACCGAGGGCACGCGGTGCCCGCGCCACCTCACGTGCCGCTCCTTTCTATTTCTGCGAAGGAACCGGCCGCGGTCGCCCCGCAGACACAGAGGTCCCTGTCCCTTCCTGACAGCCCTGGGGCCGCCCATCACAGGGTCCGCCGACCGAGGGCCAATCACCCAACCTCAGCCTCAGCGTCTCTGTCCCCAAAGACCGACCCACCCACGCACCCACCCACCCACCTGGCCCTCCAGGCCAAACTGGATTAGCAGAGACGGCAGGAGCCCATGGGTTCTGGAAGTTTCCAGGTGATACTGCGAGCTCAAATCCCTTTGTAACTCGGAAGACGTCCCAGGAGCCCTCCAGTGCCATGAGCAACGGGCTTCCCTAAGATCCAGAGGCACAAAGAAGGGCAAGTTCACTCCTGCAGCCGTTGGCTGAGAGAAACAGAGGGAAGTGACGGCCCCGGGAGAGGCTGCCCTGCCCAGCAACCGGCCCAGCGCGCTCCAACCAACCCGTCCTTCAGCCCCGAGGCACAGCAGGAAGGAGCCCTGCGGAACCTGGGGGGCGGGGGGGACGGAGAGAGTTTGAGGACACCGGCTTATAGTTACGGGCGGCCCCGAAATCCGGAGGCACTCGGGGCTGGGCGGTCGAGGCAGTGAGCCCGCCCCTAGGTGCCTTTGTCCCTCAGAACCGAGCCGTGCGGCAAACTCAGCGACAGTGACACCACGTGCACTGTACGGCCCACCGACAGGGGGACCCGTGTCGCGGTAAGTCACACACACTGGGGACAGACTGACTGAAGTGCCGCGGGAGAACCTCTGGTAATGAAATAACATGGACTTCTTGGGGTACTCTTCTGCTTTTCCTTTAAGTTTTTTTTTTTTTTGGCATGAAACAATGACTACTTATATAATTAGAAAAATGTTATTATTGTTTTTTTAAAGACACCCTTGACGTTACAAATGGCTTTGAGGGGTTATTAAGGGCAGCTCCGGATGAGACCACCCCAGCACCCACACTGGTGAGTCGGTGCTGAGCCCCGGGCGGCACCGAGGCTCGGCCCCTGCCCGCGTGCGGCTCAGGCGCGGCTCGTCCCACAGGGTGGCCGCTGATACCAACTGCTCTCCTCACTCTGCAGGTGTGTCTTCTGATAAAACGGCTCTTTCTATCAGGCGAGCCTTCCGCCACCAGGCGACGTGACGAGTTTGCAGAAGTGCCGGCCCCCTGTGAGAGCTCACAGGGCCAGCCCGCAGTGGGGCGGGGGAGGGAGGGGGCAGGAGAGGGGGTGCTGGAAGGCACTGGAACACTGCCACGGCGGGCACTCTGACTCTGCCACTGAGTGGGGGGTTGTCTGTCGCACTAGTTTTAGCGACTTCCAGGTTAAATGAAACTAAAAACTTTGCACTGGCTGGCTCCAGGAGTGGATTCGGCGAAATGGCCAACACAGGCGCGGCCAGCGCCTGCCGGGCTCTGCCCTGCCTGGGAGGCCAGCACCCAGGTCCAGCCGTCAGATCAGCCTTTCGAAAACACACGGCAGCTTTTATCCGAAAAACGCCACCGGCTTAGGAATACTTTTGCAACATTAAAAAATTTTAATTGCTTTCAATTTTTAATTCCTTCTAATTGGCATGGAAACTCCAAGCTCTCCCTCTCACGTTTGGCACTGCTGCTGGAAAAGTCGTCGTAACCCAGGAGGGCCGCTCTCGGCCACTGCGCCAGAGGCGTCCGGCACTCTGTCCAGCTCCCGTGGGGAAAATGCGCCCAAAATTACGGCTCTCTCTGGGTCTGGCTTCCCTCCTTCCCGCATCACTGCCTCACTCCCATTAGACTAATTCCTCCAAACTGTGACATACATTCCAATAGCAGGCCCGCCGACTGAGCCAAGACGATGAGAATGCATTCCCACTCGGGGCGTCCTCTGCGCCTCGCCACCCCACCCCCGGGCGGCAGGACGGGGCCGCCGCAGTGGGTGGGACCGGGCGCTGGGGCCATGCCAGGCAGCACGTGGGTGGACAGGTTGCGCTAACCTTGCTGTTGTTGCTCAACAACTCAAAGACACACGCTGTGATACTATAGCCCAGCGTGCCTTTCATAATGTGTCTTGTCATGGTGCCACATCCGAAAGCAGCAGCTGGCAACGCCGCTGAATAAAAAGAAAAGTGACCTGTGAGGGGTGCTGCCTGCGTGGCCGGGGCTTTGAGCCACCATTGTCTTACGTGCCATTAGGTGGTCCTGGAATCTTACACCAAAGCTGACGCAAGGCTCACTGAGAAAAGCGCGGCTCTGTCCCTGGCCACTGTGCCCAGAGGTGGCAGCTGCAGGAGCCTTGGGGGGCGGGGCTGAGACCACCAGGCCTCCCTGGCTAGCCAGAGGCTCTGTGTGACACCCCACCCCCACCCCACCCCCCGCCATGACCTCGCAGCTCGGTCAGACTGCCCCTCAGACAGCTGCTCTGCCCTCCCAGCCCCCTGCTGGGGACGGGTTCACCTGAGGCACGAGGGGGAGCTTCCCTGCTGCGGAGACGCGGCCATCGGGAACCCACCACGGGAGCTGCCCTTCCCGAGGGCTCTCTGCACTGCCCCCATGAGGGGGAGCCGAGCACCCCCCAGCGGAGCCCACGAACCTTCCCAGGGAGGGCGGACAGGTTTGCAAAGGGGTGGCAGCACCTCCAACGGGACAGAGCTCCTCCTGGAACCTCGACCGCAGAGCGGAGCCGAGTCTGTGCGGCGAGCGGCGGGTCCACGCCGGGTGCTGGGGAGTAGGGGTTCTGGGCTGGGGTGGGGACCGCCCTTCAGCAGGCCACGCCAGCTCTGACGAGTGCCAGCTGGGGCACCGGTTACCGGCAGGCGAGGCGGCTGAGAAGGCGGCACCTACGTCCAGTGCTCACTGGGGAGGAGACAGCTCTGCAGCCCCGGAGAACCGAGACCCCCACGCTCCCGCCCTCGCTGAGGCTGGGAATGAGGGCGGGGCGCGGAAGGGGGGGGCCGGGGCCGCCTGGCCCCTCCAGCCAGACCACAGCTCACCTGGAGAAGGTTCTTTGGACCGGGTCTCTCCCCATTTTCAGACTAAGGGTTATTCGGCGGCCAGGAGGAGAGCCAGGAGGGGGAACGCGGGAGGACAGACCAGGGGAGCAGCACACCCCTGCCCTGGTGGGCAGGTGGCCTGCAGGGAGGTGAGGCAGCCCCGCCCCACCCTGTTTGGGGCCCAGCCGCCCTGGCCAGTGCCAGCACACCTTCAAGCTGCTCCGCTCTCCCTGCCTCGACTGGCCACCGACGACAGGGAGTGTCCTGGAGTGAGCCCTCGCTGAGGACACACCTGCCTCCCGCCCGAGGACGGCCCCACGAGGGCGGCTCCCTGTGGGCCCTGGTGCCGCACACCTGGGCTGATGATCTCTCACTCTCAAAAGTGCCCCGCAGGTTATGACAAAGGGCTGCTCCTCCTCTGGGGACCTGGGGACTTCCTTACCAGTAGTGACCCTGCCCCCCACTCACAGGGGTCAATACCAAGGGGTCAAGTCTTTCTCCCCGCACCTGGACTGATTCCTCCTCTAACTCCCACACGTACCTGCTTATCTTTTGGGGTCTGTGTAATTCTCTTTGTGTAGCGTACCATTTTAACACAAGACCTCGGATACAAACACCTCAGGGGAGGAACTTCGTCCTAAGAAGTAGGTGACTACAGAGTACAGGAGGGAGGGGGCTCCGCGGCAGGAGAGGGCCGCCGAGGCCTGGGGGGCTGGTGGGGTCTCAGGGGCCTGGAGCCAGCGGGCGAGCCCTGCCCACCTGGTATCCTTGCCGCCCGCAGCACCCCTCCAAGTCACCAAACCTGGAGAAGCGCTAATCGGATCTAGACAAGAGGAAGCCTTGGGAGTAAGTCAGGGCGACCTCCCGAGAGCTGCTGCCTCTCTGTCCGGGGGAGACTGCCCGCTCTCCAGCCCCAGCCAACAGAGATGCCCCAGCCGTGGGGCTCGGGGCTTCCCCGCGGCCACCCCGACAATGGCCACCGTCAGGTGGGCGCCAGCCCTGTGGGGCTGCCCGTATCTGCCGGTGAACACAGGCTGTCACGTGCACAGGCAGGGGGCCGACACCCCATTCCACAGACAGAAACCGGGGGCCCAGAGCACACACGCCCCCCCCCCCTTACCATTGCAACCGAGGGAGGGGCCGGTGGAACTGAGCCTCCAGCCCCCAGGCCGGTGCCCCCCCCCCGCCCCCACACACATTCACAGCAAGAGCTGGCGTGCACTCTGGTCCCGACCGCTGCGAAGGGTCACTGGTGACTCCCCATATACCGTCCTATCTCCTATGGGCACGACGGGGTAACGTCCCTCTGATGGCAGTGACCTGCTGCCCGTCCACTCCACAGACCCTGTGGGTCAGCAGCCCCAGCTGCACCCATCCCTCCTCCCGGGCAGCCATGAGCTGGGAGGTGACAGGGATGGGGGCGTGTTGGGTGCAGGGGTTTCCCTCTGGCACTCACCCAGCACCCAGTGACCTTCTGCAGGAATGTTCTTAACAAAAAAGCATTCGTGGAAGGCCAGGATAATCCCCCCAGGACCCTCATGACATGAGAACCACATGAGCTGTGCTCCGGACGGAAGTAACTGTCTTCCCCCACCTGCCACGGGGTCCCCCTCCCACAGGCGGAGAGAGTGTGCGGACCCGTGGGGACTGAGGGGGACGGACCACAGCACTGGGAGCCCCTCCCCCGGGAGGGCCCAGACCCAGGCGCCAGCCGTGCTCACCAGTACAAGTAATAGGCCAAAGCCACAGCCACCAGGGCGGCGCAAACCCCCGAGAACAGGCAGGTGGAGTAGCTGACCAGCATCTTCACAGTCCGTGTCCCGAGTGCTTCTGCGCGTCGGTGAGGGGACCGGCGGTGTGAGTGGGCGTCACCTTCGGCCGGGGGGTGAGGAGAGGGCTTATGGCCAGGCCTGCATCACCTGTGCTGGATGCGCCTCGGCTGCTAAGGGTGTCTGCTCAGCCGAAAGAGGGCTACACACAGTTCTGCGGGTACTGCTTCCCACCCAGCAGCACCCGGCATGTCTTGGAGGCCAAGTCAAATGAGAGCAGGGCCCCAAAGCGGCACATGAAGCAGGGCCTCTCCTCAGCCCCTGCGGGGTGCCGGGCACCCACTAATCCAATAAGCAGCTTTCACTGGGAGCCGCTGTAAACAGGTGGCACCACGGGGCTCGGAGAGGACGCAGGTCAGAGGGCCCCGCCCCAGCACCTGACCCTGGCCCTTGGACCCAGGAGCCGCCGGAAACCCCGAGAGCACGACAACCCTACAGCCCCTGTGGGGTGAGCCAGTGATGCCGAGGGGGACCCCAGTCTCGGCCTCAGGCTGGAAAACCCCTGAAAGGCCTCCAGGTGATGGGCACCCTCTCTCTGGGGCAAGCAGGACCCCTGCCCAGGGCAGGGCTGCCAAGCCCCCACACCCCAGAGCCCACAGGCAAAACCCAGTTCCAAGACCAGACCCCGTGGATGGCCGCTCCGGTCACTGCCCTGTGGAGAACTCTGGGAGGAGTCGCCCCTCCTGTTCCCTGGGAAACGGCACTAAATAGGCCGGACTAGTGAACCGCAGACGGGTGGAGGTCAGCTGCCTCTCGCGCCTCCCCAGCCCGAGGCTCTGAATCTGCACGATGGACCTGAGATGTGATAAAGTGACGCAGGGACAGAAGTGTCCCCCCCTCCAAACCTCTCCCTGTGCAGAAGGGCCCCAACAGACACACGAGGAACAGGAAGAGGGAGAGTTATCGGGAGAGCACCTCGAGGCTTCTCTGGCCAGCACACCTTCCTTCGGGGTGCTCGTGCTGCTCTGGGGTGCCAGGGAAGTCGCTGCTTTGTGCACCTTCCCTGGCACAAGACACAAGAGACCCACTCCCAAACAGGTGCCGGCCCTGCTGCTCCCGCCCCGCCCGGCCAAGCCCACTCCAGCCCCCTGCTCCTGCGTCCTGCTGGCAGCAGGGCACCGGTGGGAAAAGCGGGTCCTGCCACTGGGCTCCACCCAGGGGTCTGCAGTGTGACCTGGGCTGCCGGGCCTGTGGCCGCTGGGCAGTGACTGTCAGGTCCCTTTAGAGCCATCCGGCCATGACCGACATTCTGGCCTGTTAGGATGGAAGGCGGGTCATCACCCCTAAGCTTAGTCCACCGGGAAGGGGCTTTGCCCTGAGCAGCATCTTGCTGGCTACGGATTTCCACCTCCTTAATCCCCAAAGTGGCCGGAGGAGCCGCTGACCGGGGAGGAGCAGCTCCTGAACGGCTGTGCGTGCTCCCCTGGGACCCGAGGCCGGTCCTCACCCTCTGAGGGCCAGAGAACCAGGCTGCTCCCCCACGGGGCAGCCGCACCCCCACCTTTCTAATAAGCAGTGAAGAAAAGAAGCCCTCCCCTCTCAGAAAGCTGCCCAGTGGTCCGAGTCTGCACAACAACCTTCCCAGGTCGACAGGCGAGGCCTAAAGAACCCTGGGTGGGGGCGGGGGGGCCCTCCATGCATCTGAGCCTCGGGGATGCCGGCCCCTGAGGTTGTGAAGCCCATCGCTGAGTACAGGGGTCTCTCTCTCTCTCTCTCTCTCTCTCTCTCTCAGGTACCCACGAAGGGCAGCAGGTGCCCCTGGCTCGATCTTTGCCCCGAGGCCAGTTCTCATTTAGAAGGTACTTACTGGTGGGGACCTTCTGGGACCCGGGAGGCCCTGCCTTCCTCTGGGTAGGCTGTCTGTTTGCCGGCCCACCCCCCCCAGCGCTTCAGGGTGCCAGCCCCTCTCCTGCAAGAGGTGAGCAGAGAGACTCGTGCAGCAATCAGGTCACGGCCCGCCCCCCAGCTGCCACCTGCCCAACTGCAGGCTTCTGAGATACTCGCTACATCCTGCTCCCACCCCTCGCCTCCTGCCAGTCCGCACAGTGGAAGCCAGGCCAGCCCCTCGGCGGGCGAGTGGGTGGGTGGCCTGTGGGGTTGCTGTACCCCCCAGATGGCCACAGACCCCTCCCAGCCCTTGGCGTCCAGGCAGCGCCCACAGGGGCTCCTCTGGGCCTGTTGTCAGCACCCAGGCCGTGGCACTTGCTGCCGCGCTGGTTTCTCTTCTCCTCTGCTCCCCCCTGGACCCTGGGGAGCACTGGCGAGGGCCTGTGTGCAGAGCTCCCCAGTGGGGGTGGGGGACAGGGGCTGGAGGACAGAGGAACGGTCAGGCCGCACCTGAGTCGCTCCCTGCCTCCGTGTGTCACAGGAGGAGTCCCTTCTCTTCAGGTGACACTGCAGGAGGCCGCTGTGCTCACCCTGGAGAGAGGGCTCACGGCTGCAGCCTTGGGCACAGACTGGACCCGAATCCTAGCACCTGCCCCCACTTCCGAGCTGAGCCTCAGTGTAAAGTGGGGATAATCGCTCTACCCAAGTCACGGCGGGGTGGTGACAGGCAGGGGAGTGGTACAGGAGAAACACCTGGAAAGATGCCCGGCGTGGGCGACGCCAGAAATGGTCAGCTCTCACGGTGACGCCGTGGCTCCCGAACCGCGCCTGCGGGGGACCGACGGGCAGAGGTGGGAGGAGCACCGGGGGTTCCTCGCTCGGCGGGGCCGGAACCGGAACTACAGCTCAGGCCTGTTTTTGGTTCTACTGACGATAAAGCATGGGGAGCTCGTTCTCCTTTCACTGTGTTCTTTCCATCACGTGTGCAAAACTCAGCAAACCTAGGAGGTCTGGAGTCTCGGTCCTATTTATTTTGAGAGAAAGGCTAGCACATGAGTTTTGCCCAGCCCCTCCTCCGGCCGGGTCTCTGCTGAGCGGAGGCTCCCCGGGGGGGCTCGGGGTGCAGACCCGTCGCCGTGAGGGTCCCCTTGTCCCAAGAGCCCCGCGTGCGACGCCACGCCTGCCCCTCGACCCCCGCTCGGTTTCACTCTCCAGCCTCTCACTGAAGCTAGAGAGAGCACAGCCGCCCTGAACACATCACACAAGACAGTGTCACGGGCACGTTTCGTCCCCGGGTCGCTGCCCTGGGCCTGAAGTGGCTGCGGCACACTGAGCACGAGGAGAGCGCGGCGGGAGCGTGCGGGCAGGATCTCCCGGAGGCTTCCCCCGAGCATCCGCATGGCAAGCACACTCGAAAAACTGAAAACTTCTCTGCCCTGGCTGGTGTGGCTCAGTAGACTGAGTGGGGGGCCTGAGAACCAAAGGGTCGCAGGTTCAATCCCCAGTCGGGGCACATGCCTGGGTTGCGGGCCAGGTCCCCAGCAGGGGGCACACGAGAGGCAACCACACACTGATGTTTCTCTCCCTCTCTTTCCACTTTCCTTCCCCTCTCTCTAAAAAATAAATAAATGAAATCTTTTTTTTTAAAGATTTTATTTATTTTTAGAGAGGGAAGGGAGGGGGAGAGAGAGAGAGAGAGAAACATCAATGTGCGGTTGCTGGGGGTTATGGCCTGCAACCCAGGAATGTACCCTGGCTGGGAATCGAACCTGCAACACTTTGGTTCGCAGACTGCACTCTATCCACTGAGTTACGCCAGCCAGGGCAAATGAAATCTTTAAAAAAAATAAAAACAAAACTTTTCTTTAGACTCATTCAGTTTCTCATGAAACCTCCACACTCTTTCTTGCACAACTGAGAACTTGAGGTGTGATTGCTTATCCCTGTGTAACTAGTCTGACTCCTGCGGCCATCAGACACGAGGACGCGTGAGTGATAAATATGCAGTCGCATCATTGTGCTGTTCTGAAAAGAAACTCGCTTTCCTGTCCCTCGGGCAACCCCTCATCCTGCGAAGGGCCCCTTTGTCAGCCGTCGGGTCCAGAGGCAGCCAGGTGCTGCTTCCACAGCGTCTGCCTAGTGCCGCAAGCCCCACCCCAAAACCGGGAGCTGGCGGACACCGGAGGGCCGTGAAGCTAGAGACCAGGAGAGCGCAGGAAGGAGGAGGTGCCTGGGCAGGGGAGAGAAAAAGCCCTGCCCTGGGGGCCACCCACTGGGCCACCAGGGGCCACCAGGGATCACAGGTTCCATGGCGGCGCCTGCAGGAGCCGTGCAGTGAGCTGCGTGTCTCCAGCTTCCAGACAAACACACACTGTGTTTCCACCTGCCTCCAGGGCAGGGGCAGGCCCAGACCCAGGACAGCCCCGACCTGTGAGCCCAGGTCCAGTGCCCCTCCTGTCCCTTCTGTCAGCCTCCTCCTTTCCCCGGCCAGTTCTCTCTGCTCACCTGCAGTCCAGGTGTACGCAGGTTCCCCCCCACCCCCAGAAAGTGTGATCCCCTTTCCACCAGCCTCACCTCCAGGTCCCGGCCCTCCAGGGAGGACCCCATCTGGGAACACCCCGAGAACCGGGTGCTGACGGCCTGTACGTCAACACTGAGGTCTGGAAGGGCAGTCAACATGGAAACTAGGAAAGGCCACAAGAGCCCCAATGAGACCCACGGGTGACAGATCGGGGAGACCACGCCAGACGTGCAGGGGAGATGTCAGGCAGGCCATGCCAAGGTCGTGCTAAGTGGCAGGTACGAGACGTGAATTATTCATTGAATGGTCACAATAGCCCTGATCTCCTGGCACCACTACCAGCTCCACGTAAGCTCTGCGCAGGGTCACCAGGTAACCGGCCAACCGGGGGTTAGAGACCGAGTTTGGCTGATGCTGGCCCCAGGGCATGTAACTGCCCTTGGTGCAACCGGTTCTGCCTAGATCCTCCCGGAAGGGTTCGCGGCTTCTTCCTAGGTAGGGACCAACTCCAGGAAGCCCCCAGGAGCCAGGGCTCCCTGGGGTTTGTCCCCACTTCTCCACCCCTCGGACTCTTGTTGACTCACAGCTCATCCCCTTCTTCCCCACAGTTTCCCCAAAGGCACTGTGTCAATCCCTGACATCCGGGATTGACACAGTGCCTTTGGGCATCCTCAAGAAAGCGTGTCCCGCCTAACCCACAGAGCGGCGGGGACGAGGAGCTGCGGAAGTTACTGCTCTGCTTTCCGCCCCTGGCTGTCCACACGCACTGGCTAAACACATCCGTCCCCAGGCCTCCCCCCGCCCCCCCCGCCCCAAACACACACAGCCCCACTGCTT